GCTTCCCAAAGTGCTGAGATTATAGGCCTAAGCCACCATGCCTGGCTCCTTTATAACCTCCATTTATTCATCTAGAAAATAGATACAAGCTGGGTGTGGTGGCTCATGCCTATAATCCCACCACTTTGGGAGGCCGAGGTGGGTGGATCGCCTGAGGTCAGGAGTTCAAGACCAGCCTGGCCAACGTGGTGAAACCCCATCTCTACTAAAAATACAAAAATTTAGCCAGGCATGGTGGCTCATGCCTATAGTCTCAGCTACTCGGGAGGCTGAGGCAGGAGAATTGCTTGAACCCAGGAGGTGGAGGTTGCAGTGAGCTGAGATCAAACCATTGCACTTCAGCCTGGGTGACAGAGTGAGACTCAGTCTCAAAAAAAAAAAAAGAAAAAGAAAGAAAAGAAAAGGAAGGATAATGAAAGAAAAGAGCTACAGCAGTAGTTTCTCAAAAGGTTGTTGTGAAGATTAAATGAAATCATAAAGGAACAATATTTAGCTCAGTGACTGGCCTGTGAGTCCTCAATAAATTTTAACGATTTTTATCGGTAAACTAAGGGGAGCAGGGGGGACCCCAGAAGAGCCCTGCCTTTCACATTGAGAACCTCATTTATCAAACTCCAAGTTTACAATGCACGAAGTAGGGGCAGTTCCCGCCTTAGAAAATAATTCTGACTTGGTTCCTTTAAGTAGCTGGTTTTCCCCAAGACCTTCAATATGTGACCCCATTTAATAAAAGTATCTACTGACCTTCACTTTCTTAGGGACCTAACTGTTGGGTGAAAATACTCTTTTCTGCTGACTCCCTGCCTGCAGAGGATTTCTTCACCTGTTGCTTCAGGTAAGGGAACAAATGCAAATTTTTAATGTCCTCATAGATCCCCCAGTGCTGCAGGTGGGCAAACAGGCTAAGGCCCCTGGGCCCGCGGCAGAGATAAGGAGCTGCCGCCGCCGCCGCCATCTCCCCACCCGGCTCCCGCTGTGGCAGCCATCCCGGCGCAGGCTTGCTCACCAGCGCCGCCCTGTGGTAAGACCGGAGATCTGCGGAAGAAAGCCAGCCCTGAACAGCCGACAGCACGCAAGCCCTTCCACTACTGCTACCCGGATATTTTGCCGGGCGCGGTGGTGAGTGTTTATAATCCCAGCTACTCCAGAAGCTGAAGGGAAGGATCCCTTGAGCCCAGGAGTTCAGAATTAGCCTGGGCAAAATAGCGAGACCCCTATCTCAAAAAGAAAAAAATAATGTCACAGGTTTCCTGACCCTGAACCTGGACATTAGCCCAGGTCTCATTCTCACCAAGCCCTCTAAAGAACTCATTTCATCAGAGAAGTGATCAGATGAATTATTCTACCTGCATACTATGAAATCCTACCTCACCGTGGAAAAGGTGGTGTATAATCTTCAAAAGCACTGAAAAAAAAAAAGAAAAAGAAAAAGAAAAACTAATGTGGTGCCTCTACAGACACTGTATCAGAATATCTTCAGTGAAAAAATCAAGTCACAGAATAAAGCATAAGTTTAATTTTTTTTTTGTCACATGTATGAATGTGTATACAAAGGCACCAGCAAAGTCCTGCGAGGTCTGTGCCAAACTCTTAATCATGGTCACCTTTGGAAAAGGGAGGAAGAGAGGAGGAGGCCAAGTGCAGTGGCTCACACCTGTAATCCCAGCACTTTGGGAGGCCAAGGTAAGTGGATCTCTTGAGCCCAGGAGTTTGAGACCAGCCTGGGCAACATGGCAAAACCCTGTGTCTACAAAAAATATAAAAATTAGCCAAGCATGGTGGTGTGTGCCTGTAGTCCTAGCTACTGAGGAGGCTGAGGTGGGAGGATCACTTGAACCAGGGAGGTTTAGGCTGTAGTGAGCCATGATTGCACCACTACACTCCATTCTGGGCAACAGAGTGAAACCCTGTCCCCTAAGAAAAGAAAGAGAGGAGGTGAGGACACTTACATTTTCACATTTTATTTGATGTATTTATATGTGGCTTGAATCTTTTACATTCATGCGTTACATGTGCAAGTTTGAAAATAAAACGCATGATGATTATTTAAAAATTTGGAGGCCGGGCACAGTGACTCATGCCTGTAATCCCAGCACTTTGGGAGGCTGAGGTGGGTAAATCACTGAGCTCAGGAGTTCAAGACCAGCCTGGCCAATGTGGCAAAACTCCATCTCTACCAAAAATACAAAAATTAGCGAGGCATGGTGGCATGCACCTGTAATCCCAGCTACTTGGGAAGCTGAGCCAGGAGAATCACTTGAATCTGGGAGGCAGAGGTTTTACTGAGCTGAGATGGCGCCACTGCACTCCAGCCTGGGCAAAAAGAGCAAAACTCTGTCTCAAAAACAAAAAATTGGAAAGCATGCAAAACAAAAAGAACAACATAAGTCTCTCACGGTCAGACTGCTCAGCAGAAGCACTGTCAAAATGCCAGTGTGTGTTTCCAGCACACGCTAGGACCACTGAGGAACACAGATTCCCCTGCTTGCCCCGGGAGGGGGCCTAGACAATGCCGCTGGACTGGACATCTATCCTGCTGCCCAGCATCACTGCCCTGCCCCACCCTGAGTCACTCCTGTAGACACCTCCTGGTACAGGGAGGCTCCCAAAAGCTTCTGCGGGCTAGCAGAACACTCAGCTCCCAAGCCAAAATGTCCTTCTCTTTGTTAACTACAAAATAAACATCTCCAGACCCCCTAGGTCACTTGCAATACAAATGTTTATGCCTTTGGAAAGAGAAAGAAAGACTCTTGCAAGTTCTCCCTGGGCCAAGGGTGCCAAGTTAGTAATTAACCCTCAGCAACTGAGGCGTCTGATCTTCCGCCAGCCGGTCTGCAGCAGGTTGTGGGAGTGATTGATTGGGCCTGGGCTGTAACTTGGTGATTGGTGGAGATTTCAGGCCTTGGAATGCTCTCTGCAAAGGACACTGGCTGCCTCTTAAACTCTAAATGAGGCCGGGGATGGTGGCTCACACCTGTAATCCCAGCACTTTGGGAGGCTGAGGCGGGTGTATCACCTGAGCTCAGGAGTTCGAGACCAGCCTGGCCAACATGGAGAAACCCCATCACTGCTAAAAAAAAAAAAAAAATTAGCCAGGCATGGTGGTGCATGCCTGTAATCCCAGCTACTTGGGAGGCTGAAGCAGAAGAATCACTTGAACCCAGGAGGCGGGGATTTTGGTGCGCAGAGATCACACCATTGCACTCCAGTCTGGCAACAAAAGTAAAACTCTGTCTCAAAAAATAGTAACTCTAAATGAGGTACTAGGGACCCACCCCCAAGAAGGCCCCCACACTGCTGCACGCCATTCCAGATGAAGGGCTGTGAGAAGCCCTAGCATTCATCGAACCACTTGAGGGAAGCTCCAGGACATGCATGCAGAGCTGGGAGGAGCAAGACTGCTGAGTGGCAGGCATCGGTCATCTTGACATTGACATTCACTAAACAACCTGGGACCAGGCTCCCTGCTCTATTCTACACATGGTGCCTTATTTCCTTTGACTCTCCCAGCAACCCCATGAGGTAGGTATAATTCTATTCCCGTTTTATAGATGAGGAAATTGAGTCTTGGAGAAATAGTCTGTGCTGCCATCACTTAATCTTGGGTGGATAAAGTCTCTTCTGCAGACAAAAGGTGTTCCTTGCCCAAGGTCATCCTGCTGGTAAATGGAGGCAATCTAGCCCCATGTGATCCAGATCCCCAACATGCAGCCAGCCATGGCAGGAGAGGGACGAAATGAGGCCAGAGCAAGAGGCAGAGTCCCCCAGATGAATGTCAAGGGAAACCCAATAGCCCTTAAGACATCAAGGGAAGGCCACGCCAGCCAAGATTCCTGACTCCCTCTGCAGAAAAGAGAGTGTGAGAGGGCACTGGGGAAGGAAAGGGGAGGGCAGAGGAGGGGGCCGACATGGGGCACGGGGAATTCCAGGGAAACTGGGCTTGGAGGACTGGAAAGGTCTCTGCCACCAGCAGGGCAGCTTCATAGATGTGCAGCCTCCATAGTCACACAGGGCTCATCCTCAGGCCCCACATTTGGCCCTAGTTGTCACCATCTTGAAATTCTAATCATTTTCCAAAGGGCCCCATATTTTTATTTTGCATTGCGCCTCACAAATTACAAAGCCAGTCCTGAGTCCAGAAGGGATCAGCCTTGGTTCCGGATGACCCTACCTCCAGGGCATGGGTATGGCTGATGGTTATTTGCCAGCCTGGTGGGAGACCAAGGCCACAGGAAATAGGTCTGGAGGATGATGGGCAGAGGTGGTCAGCTCAGGAGTGTTGATGTTTTGTTTTGTTTCTGTTTTTTGAGACAGATTCTCACTCTGTTGCCCAGGCTGGAGTGCAATAGTCTGACCTCAGCTCACTGCAACCTCCACCTTCTCGGTTCAAGCAATTCTCCTGCCTCAGCCTCCCAAGGAGCTGGGATTGCAGCAGCCACCACCACACTGGGCTAATTTTTGTATTTTTAGTAGAGATGGGGTTTCCACGTTGGCCAGAGGTGGTCTCGAACTCCTGACCTCAAGTGATCCGCCTGCCTCAGCCTCTTAAAGTGCTGGGATTACAGACATGAGCCACAGCACCCAGACAAGTGTTTTTGTTTGTTTTTTTGAGATGGAGTTTCACTCTTGTTGCCCAGGCTGGAGTGCAATGGCACAATCTTGGCTCACTGCAACCTCCACCTCCTAGGTTATAGTGAGTGATTCTCCTGCCTCAGCCTCCCTAGTAGCTGGGATTATAGGCATTACCACCACACCTGGCTAGTTTATATATACATACATATATACATACACACACACACACACACACACACACACACACACATATATATATATATATATATTTTTTTTTTTTTCATTTTTTAGTAGAGACAGGGTTTCTCCATGTTGGTCAGGCTGGTCTCAAACTTCCAACCTCAGGTGATCTGCCTGCTTCGGCCCCCCAAAGGGCTGGGATTACAGACATAAGCCATGCCACCCAGCCAAGTGTTTTGTTTTCTTTTAGAGACAGGATCTTACTTCGTTGCCCAGCCTGGTCTCCAATACCTGCGCTCAAGTGATCCTTCTTCCTTGGCCTCCCAAAGTGCTGGGATTTCAGGCAGGAGCCACTGCGCCCGGCCAGTCCAGGAGTGTTTGGCTCCTTAATGTTCTCATGTGTAAACATTCAGGAAGAAAAACCAAACCAAACCAAAACAAATAAACATTCAGGAAGCACAGGTTTCAGACTCTACTTGCTGGGGAGCAAGACTGATCAGAAACAAGTGCTTACTGGCAAGAGATTTTTCACAGAGAATGACGAGCTCTGCAAGGGATGTGATGATAAGGATGGCAGATGGGTGGATGAAGTTCAGATGCCCATATGGGAAAATGGGGGCATCAGATTAAAGGAAGAGGGAGGCTAACCTCAGGGGACTCTACTTGTATATATGAAGAAACACTTAAGGAGACCTGGACTTTTTTTTTTTTTTAAAGACAAGGTCTTTTAGCCTCACAATAGTGGGAGACTTCAACCCCCCGCCACTGACAGCATTAGACAGATCATCAAGGCAGAAAATTAACAAAGAAATTCTGGACTTAAACTCAGCACTTGACCAATTGGACCTATTAGACATCTGCAGAAAACTCCACCCATCAGCCAGCCACAGAATATACATTCTTCTCATTCGCACATGGAACATACTCCAAGATCAACCGCATGCTTGGCCGAAGAGCAAGTCTCAATACATTCAAAAAAATCAAAATCATACCAGCCAAACTCTTGGACCACAGTAGAATAAAGACAGAAAATACTAAGAAGATTTTGACCAGGTGCGCTGGCTCACATGTGTAATCCTAGCACTTTGAGAGGTGATGGTGGACAGATCACTTAATGTCTGGAGTTCGAGACCAGTCTTACCAACATGGTGAAACCTTGTCTCAACTAAGAATACCAAAAAAATATAAATTAAAAAAAATTAGCTAAGTGTGGTGGTGGGCACCTGTAATCCCAGCTACTCGGTAGGCTGAGGCAGGAGAATCACCTGAACCTGGGAGGCAGAGGTTGCAGTGAGCCGAGTTCATACCACTGCACTCCAGCCTGGGCGACAGAGCAAGACTCTGGTAAATATGATTCAACACATAAACAGAATTACAGGCAAAAATCCTCATCCCAATAGGTGCAGAAAATGCTTTCAATAAAACCCAACATCCTTTCATGATAAAAACCCTCAAGAAACTAGGCATCGAAGGAACATACGTCAAAACAATAAGAGCCATCTAGGATAAACGCACAGCCAACATCGTCCTGAACTGGCAAACACTAGAGCATTCCCCTTGGAACAAGAAAAGCAATCCCAGCTGGGCACAATGGCTCACACCTGTAATCCCAGCACTCTGGGAGGCTGAGGCGGGTGGATCACCTGAGATCAAGAGTTCAAGACCAGCCTGGCCAACATGGTGAAACCCCATCTCTACTAAAAACACAAAAAATTAGCTGGGCGTGGTGCTAGATACCTGTAAGTCCATCTACCCAGGAGGCAGGAGAATCACTTGGACCCAGGAGGAAGAGGTTGCAGTGAACCGAGATTGTGCCACTGCATTCCAGCCGGGGCAATAAGAGCAAAGCTGTTTCAAAAAAAAAAAAAAAAGAAGAAAGAAAGAAAGAAAAGCAATCCTGTTATTGGGTGTATATCCAAAAGAAAACAAATTGTTCTACCAAAATGTCATGGGCACGTGTATGTTCATCACAACACTATTCACAATAGCAAAGACATGGACTCAACCTAGGTGCCCATCAGTGATGAATTAAAGAAATCGTGGTACATATACACTGTGGAATACTACATAATCATAAAAAGAATGAAATCACGTCCTTTGCAGCAACATAGATACAGCTGGAGGCCATTATCCTAAGCAAATTAACACAAGTGCATGAAACTATAAACATTGGGAACTGATATGGTTTGGTGCTGTGTCCCCACACAAATCTTATCTCGAATTGTAATCCCCACTTGTCCAGGGTGAGAAGTGATTGGATTACGGGGGCAATTTCTCCCATGCCTTTCTCGTAATAGTGAGTGAGTCTCGCGAGAGTGAGATCTGATGGGTTTAAAAGTGGAATTGTTTCCTGAAAGCTTTCTCGCGCTTGCCGGCCGTAGTGTGAAGATGTCTGCTTCTCCTTTTGCCTTCCGCCGTGACTGCGTGTCCTGAGGCCTCCCCAGCAAACAATGCAGAACTGTGAGTCAATTAAACCTGTTTCCTTTATAAATTACTCAGTCTCAGGTATTTCTTTCTTTCTTTGTTTTCTTTTTTTTGAGACTGAGTCTCGCTCTTGTCAACCAGGCTGGAGTGCCGTGGTGCAATCTCAGCTCACTGCAACCTCCTCCTGGGTTCAAGCAATTCTCCTGCCTCAGCCTAAGTAGCTGGGATTACAGGCGCCTGCCACCACACCCAGCTAATTTTTGTATTTTTAGTAGAGACAGGGTTTCGCCATGTTGGCCAGGCTGGTCTCAAACTCCTGACCTCAAGTGATCCACCTGCCTCAGCCTCCCAAAGTGCTGGGATTACCAGCATGAGCCACCGCTCCCAGCCTCAGATATTTCTTTATAGCAGTGTGAAAACAAACTAACACGGATACTCAGGGATATAAAGATGGCAACAGTAGACACTGGGGGCCACTAAGGAGGGAAGGGAGAGAAGGGGGCAAGGGTTGAAAAACCAACTCTTGAGAACTATGCTCAGCACCTGGATGATGGGATCATTCGTATCCCAAATCTCGGCATCAGGCAATATATCCACGTAACAAACCTGCATATGTATCCCCTACATCCAAAATAAAAGTTGGAAGAAAAAGACAAGGTCTTGCTATGTTGCCCAGGCAGGAGTGCAGGGCTTACAGGCTGAAGCATAGCACACTGCAGCCTCAAACCACTGCCACCTCAGCCTCTCGAGTATCTGGAGCTACAAGCATGCATCACTGTGCCCAGCTGAGGACCTTACATTGTAAAAAGAACAGTCCAGATGTAAGAGACTTACAAAAGCAGGAGATAGATTAGCTAGTCCGAAATGGAAATGGCTGTTGACTGTGGTGTAGGGGCCTTTTTGAAGTCAAAAAGGAATCCGGACGCTCCTGGCAAACTGATGGGACCAGTCCTTTGTTGCATTGGCTGGAACGGTTGAAGGAGGGAAGGAACCTGGCACCGTGGTCTCGATCTGGTTACAAAGCACGATTCCAGCAAAGGTTGAGGAGGAAGAGGGGCTCACTATCATTTATTGAGCTCTTCCTGCATTCCAGGCATTGGACTACAGGCATGCATTTGTTATTCTTTGCCATGTAACAAACTATCCAAATATGTAGCAGCTTAAAACAAGCAACTATGGTTAGCCTCAGTTTTTGTGCATCAGGGATTCGAGAGCAGTTTAGGCCAGGCGTGGTGGCTCACACCTGTAATCCCAGCACTTTGGGCTCAAGAGCCCAGGAGTTCAAGACTGGCCTGGGCAACATAGCAAGACCCTGTCTCTACAAAGAAGTTCAAGAAACAGCTAGGTGTGGTGGTGTGTGCTTGTAGTCCTCAGGAGGCTGAGACGGGAGGTTCCTTGAACCGAAGAGTTCAAGGGCACAGTGAGCCGTGATTGTGCCGCTGCACTCCAGCCTGGGTGACAGAGCAAGACCCTGTCTCAAAAAAAAAGAAAAGTAGTTTAGCAGCCTCAGAAATCATCCTTTGTCATTTTCACAGCATCCAGTTGGTACAGAGGTCATCCCTATTCAGTATGGGAGGTGACCGTTACCAGGGCATGAATCCAGGAGGTGGAACTCACTGGCCACTCTCTCATCTTGGAGGCTGCTGCCCACCACGTGGTACTTCATGATCTCATTCAATAATCACAACAGGCTAGTAATAATTTTTCCCCTACTCAAAAGAGGGAATTTTGCTCAAGACCAAACAACTACAAAGTAGCAGCTGTTGGATTTGAACCCCACTGAGCTTGCCTATGTCGGAGCTCTGTGGCAGGCAGGGTGACAGGAGCAGACTGTTCCCCAAACCCCATTAGACACTGGGCTCCAGACAGCAAGACAATGTGTTTCTCTCCTCCAGCCGGGTCCCCAGGGGGATACACATCTCTCAGACTCTCACACAGGCCATGGGGAGCTTTGGCCTTGGGAGGGCACCAGTTAGCAGTGGGGAGAGGAAAGGGCTGCCTCCCTCCTCTTGCTCCCCATTTTGCCCCAAGATGAGGGGCTGCCATTCAGAATGGGTCCAATTCCAGGACAGTAACTGGGTCATATTTTCTGGAATGCAGGGTTACGATCAGATCTGTCCCCTCACCACACACACACACACACGTGTGTGTGTGCACACATCCACATACACCTGTGCAAGTACACAAGTATCCATGCACATCACCTGCCTGCACACACCCCAAACACATGCACACACATCCACATACATGCACACTCTCCTCCTAGTCCTCTGCTTCTGAGTGACCAGATGGCTCTTTTTTTTTTCCCCCCACACATACTTAACTGAGCACCTGCTAGGTGCCTGGCATGGTGCTGGGTGCAGGAGACATGGCATGGAACAGAGATGTGTCTGCTCGTGTGGAGCCTGTGGTCACGTGCTCTGCTAGACAGCTGCCTTTCTGGGGGCCACTGCTCCTCACATCTGCTGGGGCTCATTCACTTCTTCCATGTGGTGTTTGGACACAGGCATGGGGAGGTCCCCCTTGACCTCGAGCCTGAGCCTAGAACTCTGACCCACTTTACCAGAAACCCAAATTCAGGAACTGATCATCTGCTTGGTTAGTCATGTTTTAGAACCTTGAGAGCATGTTACAACCTGCAGACGTTACAGACACCCATCTGCTCTCAACTCTCTTAGTCACAATGAGATGAAACTTTCAGAAAATCAAGAGACCAAAATCAGGCCAGGCACAGTGGCTCACACCTATAATCCCAGCAATTTGGGAAGCTGAGATGGAAGGATCACTGGAGCCCATGAGTTTGAGGCTAGCCTAGGCAACAGAGTGAGAACCCATCTTTCAAAAACAAACGAAAAAAAATAGCCGAATGTGGTGGCATGTGCCTGTAGTCCCCACTACTCAGGAAGCTGAGGCAGGAAGATCACTGGAGTCCAAGAGTTCGAGGCTGCAGTGACCCATGATCACACCACTGCACTCCAGTGTGGGTGACAGTGAGACTGTCCCCAAAACAAAACAAATCAAAAGACACCAAAATCAGTCAAATGCTTCTTACTGTTCTCTCCTTCCCTGCCTAGGGCTGTACTTTCAGATACCCCCCATTGTGCTTCCTGCCTTCCCAGGCAATTCAGGCCTCCAGTGATCTTCCTGCCTCAGCTTCCTGATATCTGTAATGATATCACTCACCTGGTCTTAGGGGCAGCCCAGAGGCATCTGACTGCAGACACAGCCAAGCTCCACAGGCACAACTGGGTGGCAACTTCAGAGGGCAGAAACAGTAGGCTCCCTCTGGCCCAGCATGGTGGTTCATGCCTGTAATCCCAATACTTTGGGAGGCTGAGGCAGGAGGGTTGCTTGAGCCCAGGAGCTATGATCACATCACTGCACTCCAGCCTGGGCAGCAGAGCGAGATCTCATCTCTAAGAAAAGAAAGAAAGAAACGGTGACCTCTGCACAGCCAGTCAGAACTGTATGACTCACTTGAGGCAGGACAAGAGTCACAGTTGTACCTTTCTTGTCTCTGTTGGGACCCTTGGGGGTGAGTTCCCCTTTGTCCTCTCGTGGAAACAGCACATGGCAAGCAACCACAAAACCAGGGCAGGAGGGACTTCCCACCAGCATCCAGCCCCAGTGCCATGTTTTCTCATTTGGCAGAGACACTGATTCTGACTCCTCCACAGCGTCACCCCTGTGCTTCTGGAGCAGGGGTAGATGGGGTTCCTTTCCCCTTTGGGGTTCACCTTCCAGTTGAGGTCCTTACTTGAGGGTTTTGGGGTGCCTCTCCATGGATAACCTTCCTCCCCACATACCTGGATTGCTTATCTACTCATTCACAACTGTTCCACATGCCCTCCCCAAGCACAACCTGGGCCAAGCCTGGAGGGAAGTTGGGGGCCCACTAGGGACAAGCTCAGGAGACCTGATTGGATACAGAAGCTCCTAATCCAGCCCAGAAATTCAGGGGATGCCCAGGAATGACCCCCAGGCAGGGGATGGGGAGAGGGAGCTGAGGTACAGAACGTGCTCAGGTTCACTAGCTGGTTTGAGACAGTGTTTGTCTGCCTGGAGCTTGGGGTACAAGTGGGAATGTGGCAAGAGATGGGGCTGGAGGGCTCAGTACCCGCAGGCACACTGGACGTTTGCCCTGAGGGCAATGGGGAGCCACAAGGAGGTGAGGCAGGCAGCAGCCCTGCCAGATGTCCATTGCATTTATACCTGGTGGCTGTGGTCGGGAAGTGGATTGGGAGGCACAAGGCTGAAGGCTAGAGACCAGCAAGGGAAATTTGTAGTCATGGAGATGGGAGGTGTTGCTGGCTTGGACCAGGATTGGAGCTGGGTGGAGAAGGGGTAAGTTCAAGAGGTGTTTTGGAAGGAATGCTGATGGAGTTTCCCATGGTTTGAGTGGGAAGGCGGGTGATCTGTGAAGGAGGACAAGGCTTGGGCACCATGAAGGGGTGGGGCAGACATGGGTAGTGGTGCAGGTTTAGGTGGAAGGTCACAGGTTTGGTCATGAACATATTGAGTCCATGGGCCTGCAACACAGAGGGACCCAGGCAGGATTCGCATTCAGCCCTGCTGCAGACCCAGCTCTGGGCTGCCGCACACACTGCTGTAGAAGAGCATCTACAACACAGGACTTGGTGGATGAGAAATGCTGATGTCCTGCCTTTCCTGGGGAGATGCTCTAGCCTTCCGAGACAGGAGAGAGAGACCTGTGTTCTTGGCTGCATCACCTGGAGTAGAACTTCCATCTTGCTGAGCTGCGGGGATGAGGAAGGGAGACAATGAGCAATGACTCAGATGCCACAGGCTTTCACTATTCTGAGATTTAATTGATTTTCACTTCTTTTGAGACGGAGTCTTGCTCTGCCACCCAGGCTGGAGTGTGGTGATGCAATCTTGGCTCACTGCAGCCTCTGCCCCCCAGGTTCCAGCAATTCTCCTGCCTCAGCCTCCTGGGTAGCTGGGATTATAGGCGCATACCACCATACCCGGCTAATTTCTATATTTTTAGTAGAGATGGGGTTTTGCCATATTGGCCAGACTGGTCTTGAACTCCTGACCTCAGGTGATCCACCCTCCTCGGCCTCCCAAAATGCTGGGATTACAGGTGTAAGCCACCATGCCCAGCCAATAGTTTTCTTGAATAAATGTTTCTTCATTTGCTGTGTGACTGCAGGACAATTTCCAGAGACTTAAATGGTTGTTTTTTTCATATAATATGAAAACAAAGAATTTTTAAAAGAGTGGCCATGGGTAACAAACAATTGAAACAGACACTACAAAAAAACACATATGGATGGCAAATAAGTACATGAAAAGATGCTCCGTAGCATCAGTCGTTAGGGAGATGCCAATTAAAATCACAGTGAGACGACTGCACACCTATTAGAATGGCTTAAATTTCAATAACTGGCAATATCGAGGGTTGGCAAACATGTGGAGCAACTGGAGCTTTTAGGTACCGTTTTACAATCACTTTGAAAAACAGCTTGGCCTGGGTGTGGTGGCTCACCCCTGTAATCCCGGCACTTTGGGAGGCTGAGGTGGGTAGATTACCTGAGGTCAGGAGTTCATGCCCAGCCTGTGCAATGTGGTGAAACGCCATCTCTATTAAAATGCAAAAAAAATTAGCTGGGTTTGGCAGCATGTGCCTGTAATCTCAGCTATGTGGGAGGCTGAGGCAGAAGAATTGCTTGAACCCAGGAGGCGGAGGTTGTAGTGGGACAAAATTGTGCCACTGCACTCCAGCCTGGGCAATAGAGCAAGACTCCATCTCAAAGCAGAACAAAAACAAAAGTTAGCCAGGCATGGTGTTGCATGCCTGTAATTTCAGCTACTCAGGAGGCTAAGGCAGGAGAATCGCTTGGACCTGGGAGGAGGAGGCTGCAGTGAGCTGAGATCATGCCATTGGTGACGGTGAGACTGTCTCAAAAAAAAGAAAAGCAGTTTGCAGTTTCTCTCATACATTATATACACTTGCCTTGAGACCCAGCAATTCTACTCCTAGGTCTCTTACCAAGAGAAATGAAACCATATGTATGCAAATGTTCATAGCAGCATTATTCATCATAGCCCCAAACTGGAAACCAACCAAATGTCCATCAACAGGTGAGTGGGCAAACAAGTTGTGAAATATACCTAGCGGGAAAAAGAAATGAACTAGTAATATGCACAATGACAAGGGTGAGGCTTAAATTATTACGTTACATAAAAGCCAGACCAAAAAAGAGTACATACAGTATAATTTGATTTATATAAAATTCTGTAGGCCAGGTGAGATGACTCACGCCTGTAATCCCAGCACTTTGGGAAGTTGAGACAGGAGGATTGCTTGAGTCCAGGAGTTCAAGACCAGCCTGGGAAGCATAGGGAGACCCCATCTCTTAAAAAAAAAAAAAAAAAAAAAAAGTAGCCAAGTATGGTAGTGTGTGTCTATAATCCCAGCTACTTTGGGAGGTTGAGATGGGAGGATTGCTTGAGCCTGAGAGTTGGAGGCTGCAGTGAGCTATGATCATGCCACTATACTCCAGCCTGGGTAACAGAGCGAGAGCCTCTCTTTTAAGAAAAAAAGAAAAATCCTAGAAAATGCAAAATAATCTATAGTGACAGAGTGAGAACCTGTCTCAAAAAACATTTGATTAGATCTGTGACCCTATCTGCCAAGCCCTGCCATCTAAATTAGATCCCTATTGTTCTCTCTCTCTCTCTTTTTTTCTTTTTTTTTTTAAGACAGGGTCTTGTTCTGTCACTGAGACTGGAGTGCAAGAATGTGATCGATCATGGCTCACTACAGCTTCAACCTCCCTGACTCAAGCAATCCTCCTGCCTCAGCCTTCTGAGTAGCTGGGACCACAGGTATGCACCACCATACCCCGCTAATATGTTATTTTTTGCAGAGACAGAATCTCACTATGTTGCTCAGGCTGGACTTGAACTTTTGGCCTTAACTGATCCTCCCGCCTCAGCCTCCCAAAGTGCTGGGATTACAGTGTGAACCACTGCGCCCAGCCTGTTATGTCCTTTCAGACACACTGCCTCATCCCTTTTCACGATGTGCAGTCACGTGGTTATCTGACCATGGGTTTGTGTAAGTCTGTCTTTGAGGCTGGTCGTGCTGGCTCCTGCATTTCCAACACAGAGGCAGAGCTTGGGCTCGGAATAGGCGCTCTGTAAACATATGTGGGATGAGTGAGGACATTCCCTGGACGATGCCTGGGATGCCCAGGCCACAGAGCTGCCATTGAATCTCCTGGGGGTTAAAGTCTTCCATGTGCCACTCAGCAGGAAAAATTCAGAGCTGACATTAATTCAGACCCCACATACATGATTCTTACTGAGTTAGACACCAAGACAATCTCGCCCTTTGTTGGGACTGTGGGAGTCTTAAGTACTCCTAGAGAGAAGCCAGTCTAAAATCAGTCACTTTTTGAAACCATCAGCTTGAGAAATTAAGGATTCTGTCAGCGTGCCCTGAATTTCTGGGCCCAGCAATTAATTCCTTCTAGATTAAAGGATTGTTGTGCTTCTGATACATTATTATGCGGAGTGGCCTTGCTGTGAATTTTAAAACTTTAACCAGAATCCTCATTAACTGGGACCTTTTTATCTGTGTGCAACTTCTAGAAGAGGCCAGTGGCTAGAAAGTGAGCTGATGCATCCAAAAAAAACACATTTCAGGGGGTATCCTGTTGCACATTCAGTCCAGGCAGCTGTTCTCCTTTCTAATGGGAACAGGGCCATTTGCTTACAATGTACCCGGTGCCGGCTGGACGTTATACATGGCGCCACTGAATCATCACCTGCTCCATCAGGCAGCCACTGTCATTAGTATCTCCAGCGTACTAGTGAGGAGACGGGTTGAGAGGGGGGTCCCTGTTCAAGCCACTGGGTGGCCAAAGTCTTTCTGACCTCGAGGCCCCATGCTTGGCTCCCAGATTCCGTTGCTTTCCCTTCTCCCTGGATGGTGAAGACCACTGTGCCGAAGGATGACCATATGGCCGTTTGGGCCACCATCCAGCCAAGAGCTATTTCATCTGTGCTGGGCATGAGGTTCCTAAGCCTGAGGGAGCAGGCCCAGTCATGTGTGAGGCTGACCCAGGGGGCAAGAGCTCCATCCTCTGGGAGCACTCACTAGGTTCAGGGCCAGGGAGGTCAGCCCCTGCTGTCTATCGTGAGCAGGCTCTGTCCCCTCCTTAGCATCAGTCCTCTTCCTGCCATACGTCTGGGAATCTCAGCTTCTCTCAGGCAGAGTTCAACCTGGCTGGTTTTTTTTTTTTTTTTTTTTTTTTGGAGATGGAGTCTCTGTTATCCAGGCTGGAGTGCAGTGGCACCATCTCAGTTCGCTGCAACCTTTTCCTCCCAGGTTCGAGCAATTCTCCTGCCTCAGCCTCCCAAGTAGCTAGGATTATAGGTATGTGCCACCACACCCAGCTAATTTTTGTATTTTTAGTAGAGATGGGGTTTTGCTGTGTTGGCCGGGCTGGTCTCGAACTCCTGACCTCATGATCTACCCGCTCGGCCTCCCAAAGTGCTGGGATTACAGACGTGAGCTACTGTGCCCAGCCAGCCTGGCTGTCTTAACGGCAGAACCTGAGCCCAGATGCAGCCCTTTAAGGGAGAGACTTCCAGGCCCTATGTTGGATGCTTGCTAAACCATCTCCAAATGAGCCTGGCTTTCCCGGCATTGCAGCGCTTCCCACTTTGGTTCACACGGGTTTATAGACACACAGCATTCATGCACACAGCTACTTCCTCACCCCTGCATGCCTGGAACCAGTGCTCCCCAGCCCAGTGTGCACCCCAGGGCCAAAGCCAGGCCATCACTGCCACAGTGGGTTTGCCCTAGGGCCCTGGGATCTTCTAGAAACCTTAGAAACTCAAAAGGGGTCAGGATTCCAAGGGTTCTAGCATCCCTAAGTAAACTGCCCCTTTCCAGTTCCCCAGAGAAAGACTGGGGGAGCCAGTTGGCCCCGGGGAACAGTCCACTACTCATTGCTGGCGAGCATGTCAGAACACTTGCACACTGCTGGTGGGAATGCAAAGTGGAGCAGCAGCTGCAGAAAACAGATGGCAGTTCCTCAAAAAAATTAAAACACAGAATTACCCACGTGACCCAGCAATTCCACTTGTAGGTATATATCAAAAAGAATTAAAAGGAAGGTCTCAAAGACATCCCAGTACACCTGTGTTCATAGCAGTATTATTCATAATTGCTAAAATCTGGAGAAACTCCGGTATATATCAGGGAAGAACAGATAAGCAAAATGAGGTCTATCCATTCAATGGAATATTATTCAGCCCTGAAAAGGAAGGCAATTCTGATATAAGCCACAAAGAGAATGAAGCTTGAGAATATTATGCTGAGTAAACTAAGCCAGTTACAAAACAATAAATACTGTATGATTTCACTTATGTGGCATATCTAGAATAGTCAAAATCATAGAGACAGAAAGTAGAATGGCAATGGCCAAGGCCTGGGGAAAAGGGATAATGGGAGTTATCATTTAATGGATACAGAGCTTCAGTTTTACAAGATAAAAAGGGTTCAGGAGCTGGACGATGGTGATAGTCACACAACACTATGAAGGCATTTAATTCCAGAAAATCATACCCTTAACAACGGTCAATTTTGCCGGGTTCGGTGGTGCAATTACGCCTGTAATCCCAGCACTTTAGGAGGCCAAGGTGGGGGGCTGGGGAATCACTTGAGCCCAGAAGTTCAAGACCATGCTGGCTGACAAAGCAAAACCCTGTCTTTCTTTTTTTTTTTTTTTGAGACGGAGTTACCCAGGCTGGAGTGCAATGGTGCGATCTCGGCTCACTGCAACCTCCGCCTCCTGGGTTCAGGCAATTCTCCTGCCTCAGCCTCCTGAGTAGCTGGGATTACAGGCACGCGCCACCATGCCCAGCTAATTTTTTGTATTTTTAGTAGAGACGGGGTTTCACCATGTTGACCAGGATGGTCTCGATCTCTTGACCTCGTGATCCACCCTCCTCGGCCTCCCCAAGTGCTGGGATTACAGGCTTGAGCCACCGCGCCCAGCTGCAAAACCCTGTCTTTACAAAAAAATACAAAGATTGGCTTGTTATGGTAGTACACACCCACAGTCCCAGCTACTTGGAAGGCTGAGGTGGGAGGATCACTTGAACCTAGGAGGTCCAGGCAGCAGTGAGCCATGATCTCACCACTGCACTCCAGCATGGGTGACAGAGTGAGACCTTCGTCTCCAAAAAAAAAGGGAAATTTTGTTATATTTTATAATGAGTGAAATGGTAAAATTCCACTTAAATGAGATACTTAGAGTCATCAAAATTGTAGAGACAAGTAGAATGAAGGTTGCGAGGTGCTGAGGGATGGGGGAGTGAGGAGTCAGCGTTGGACTGGTACAGTTTCATTTGGGGAAAATGAAAAAGTTCTGGACAGTGGGAATAGTTGCACCACAATGCAAATGTACTGAGTTGTGTGCTTTAAAATGGTTAAAATAAGTAAAATGATCAATTTTCCTGGACAACATGGTGAAACCCTACCTCGAGAAAAAAGATTAAAAAAATGAGCCAAGCATGGTGGCACATGCCTGTAGTCCCAGCTAACCCGGAGCCTGAGGTAGGAGAATCACCTGAGCCAGGGGAGGTTGAGGCTGCAGTGAGCTATGATCACCCCACTGCACTCCACCCTGGGTGACACAGTAAGACCCTGCCTCAAAAAAACAAAAGTCAGTTTTACATTATCTATATGATACCAGAACTTGTAAAAAAAAAAAAAAAAAACCACCTGTAGTCCCAGCAATTTGGGAGGTCAAGGTGGGCAGATCACAAGGTCAGCAGTTTGGGACCAGCCTGGCCAATACGGTGAAACCCCATCTCTACTAAAAACACAAAAATTAGCCGAGTGTGGTGGTTGGCACCTATAGTCCTAGCTTCTTGGGAGGCTGAGGCAGGAGAATTGCTTGAACCCGGGAGGCAGAGGTTACAGTGAACCGAGATCGGGCACTCCAGCCTGGGTGACAGAGCAAGATTCTGTCTCAAAAAAAACATTAAAAATCTGAAGTTCCTGTTCATTAAGCAGCCTGCTATTCTCATGATCCTAGTAAATCCTGGCAGTGACATTTTGAGGTACATTCTGTGATTGTCCTCAGTTTTCAGGTAAGAAAGCCAAGAGAGGGAGGTGACATGAGCAGCCTGAGGTCACCCAGCAAGTAGGAGGGCCAGGATTCCACCCAGGACCGCTGACTGTGCCCGGCCACAGAGGGAGTGCCCCCTTTCCTCACAGCTCCCCGCAGATCCCACTCAGATTCTTCTGCCAGGGGCCAGCAAACAGGATCCAGATGGCGGTTCCCCCAGTCACCAGGACAGGGCCTAACTTGAAACCCCTCTGCCAGGATTTCCAAATGCATCCCAGATTTCTGTCACAGAAGCATCTGGTACCCTCCTGCTGGGGCAGTGGGGGGCCAAGGAGCAGCCAGGCCTGGCCATGGGCCTGGGCAGTGACTGGGGGCTGGCAAGGGGGTGGCACTAGTCTCTGGTCCATCCCCTTGGAAGCCCCGGGGGATCCTGCTGGCCCTGGGAGGCTGTTAGCTCTGACAGTGGATTCGTCTTACTCCTACCTCTGTGACAAAGCCCCACCACCTGGCTGGCTTAAACAACAGACACTTATGTCTCACTGTTTTGGTGCTGGAAGTCTGAAATCAAGGTGTGGTTCCTTCTGAGGCTGAGAGGGAAGGTCTGTTCCAGGCCCCTCTCCCGGCTTCAAGTGGCCTCTCGCACTCTTTGGCATGTTGGGGGCCATCTTCTCTCTGTGCCCTCTGTGAGCGTCTGTCTCCGTGTCCCATCTCCTTTTTATATAAAGACACAGCCAC